GAAAATCCTTAGTGTGAAATGTACAAAGCTCTTTGTCTGTATGAGTTATTATTGACTGGTAGTGATGACACCTGCTATTAATGAGCAGACTCAATGAAGGGAAGAAAACAGAAAAGACAAGCAGAAACACAACAACTACAACTGCCTTACAGCCACACAGTGCCTTTTAGATGAAGTTGACTGCAAATAAAACATTCAACACATTCATTGATTTTAAAGAAAATTAACTTAAATGTTAAGGGCCAAGTTTCCAACTGAAGGAAACATTAATCACCATATTAGCTTCAATATTTCAATAAAACTGCAGTAAGTAGAGCTAAACCACTGTTAATTCTCAGTAAGGACTTATTTGTGGTCATGGCATCATTGACTAAAATTAGTTTAAACATTTAAGGATTCACAGAAGTCTCATGTTGATTTCTAACAGGCTGCAGATTATGTATATTGGGTTGCCATAAGACTTAATAAGGGCCAACGAAAAAGGCCTGACAAATTAGACATAGAGAAGGCTACATGCACATTCGGTTCCTTTTTGTAGTGTAAACATTTGAAAATGTTGCTGCTATGGTTGTGGGGATTCTACACATATCAATGAGAGCCATTATCAACTGTTTTTGTACACCTACAACAGATGGAAGTTGGTGTGGGCCCTGCGGCTGGGGCCAAAGGGCTCTCTCATGTGGAACAGATGAACAAATCAGAAGACCTGCTACTGCCACCTAACGGTTGATATGAGAACATATCTCTTGTTGTTGACTGTTTTTTAACTTTTTGATTGATTTCAATTTTTATAAAACCATGGAAGATCTGTTAACTTTTAAAATGATTTGGTGCAATCACGGAGCATTGTGTACTGTTTTTGAAGGAAATCTGGTGTTCTCCTTATAATGATTGAGTGTGTGTAATAAGGCCAGGTAGAAAGGAGTGTGCACACAGGCTTTTCAGCAAAATAAGGGGAGTATATTGACCCAACAAAAAAAGGCAGAAATACAGAAAACTCTCTAAGGTCAACAAAACTACTCTAAGAAAAAAACTGAGCAGCACTGAACAGATCCAGACTAACCTCACACAGGCTGCCGTTTTGGACTAAAAGCAAGGGTAAATCCAAACACAATGTGGCACGGCAACATTCAAGACATGTAGACATAAGACCAAACAAACTCAAAGTGAACATGCAGAAACTTAAGTACTCAGACCAAACAAGGATAATTAACTAGGCACACCTGAACAGAATAATACAATCAACACAACAAGGGAAATGGTGCAAAAGGAAAACAAATTCCAAATTAACAGAAACTGTGACAGTAAGAGCTATCATTATAGTGCATTTCTGTTGTATGCTGAAAGTACACATATATTAAAAAAATAAAACTGCCATTAAAAGCATGTTTCAAAAAATAAATTGTTGGGTATGTTGCCTTCTTAAGACTCATATCCAGATCACCCTGCATCAGTTAACTGTGTTGCATCCTACTAAAAGTAGCCAAATTCTATTAGGCTATATTTTCAATTTCAAACTTCCATTTCAATTAACCAATGTCAAGTGCTACATCCAAACCAGAAATGGCCCTAATCTGTTTTATAATATATGGGGCATATTTGCTATGTCAAATGTGGGACAAGTTAGAAAAAGAGCGTTGCTTCCCGGGCTTCCCCACAGAGAGATCAGGGGTTGGGTGGCACTCTTAGCCAAAGCCAACTAGGGAGAAAACGGATCTGTCATTCTCTCTAGGAAGGCTTCGGCGAAGAAGTCCTGACACAGAGTGTCGGTCTTCCGAGGGCAGATCCCTCTGGGGAAAAGCAGTGGCCAGGCACCTCATCATACGGTGCCCATCTCTCCTCATGGCCCTCGGGGGGCCGGTCTGTCAACCCTGCCACCTCTGGTTCTTCAGGGCACAGCGGTCTCCAGCAAGCACTCCTCTCAGTCTCCGCCCGGAAACGTAGTGGTCCTGGGAAGCTTGCATCCTCCAGTGAGGATTCCAGAACAGCCGGACCTGTTGATCTCTGCCAGTCATCTGCTTCAGGGCACCGAGTCAGTTGTTCTGATGACACCAAAAGCCAGTCTCGAGAGGCTGATTCCCTTAGTAGACTTTTTGGCAGCTTGAAAATGCCTGCCAAATGTGTCTTAGTGGGTCCTGCAGACAGTGGAAAGAGGCTACAGAATCCAGTTCAGTTCTCGGCCACCTCGATTCAACTGGGTCACATTTACTGTGGTAAGCCCTAAGAAGGCTCTGGTGATGAAACAAGAAGTGGCTACCCTTTTGAGAAAAGAGGCTATAGAGTGTGTCCCTCCACTCGAGAGGAAGTCCAGCTTTTACAGCCGATACTTCATTGTTCTCAAGAAGGATGGGGGGGTTGCGTCCCATCATAGATCTGCGCCAACTCAACCGCTCAGTCAAGATGTTCAGATTCAAGATGCTGACTTTGAAACAGACTGTGATGCAAATCAGGTCTGAGGACTTGTTCGTCACCATAGATTTGAAGGACACATACTTCCATGTCTCCATCCTTCCCAAACAGAGGAGGTTCCTTAGGTTTGCTTTCGGGGGCGAAGCATACCAATACCGGGTTCTTCCATTCGGTCTAGCACTGTCACCCCGCACTTTCCCCAAGTGTGTGGATGCTGCTTTGGCTCCTCTCAGACTCCAGGTTATCCGCATAGAAAATTACATCGACAACTGGCTGATCTTATCCCAGCTGGAGCAGATGGTGGTTCGGCATCGAGATGTCATCCTTGTCCATATGAAAGAGCTGGGGTTGAAGCTGAACACCAAGAAGCTATGTCAGTCACTTTATGTAAAGCAGTTTCAGTGACTGTTGGGACTGATGGCAGGAGCATCCAACATAATACCTTTTTACCTACTGTACATGAGACCCCTGCAGTGGTGGCTCAGGACCAAGGCCGTGTGACCTTGATCATGTGATATGGGTTGCCCCTAAGGGAAAACCATATCACATGATCAAGGTCACGCGGCGCTGCCTTTGTGCCTTAGTCATGTGGAAGAGACCTTGGTTCCTGTCTCAGGGACCTGTGTTGGGTGCTCCGTGTCATTGTGTAACACTTACAACGGATGCTTCCCTCACGGGTTGGGGAGCAACCCTGAATGGTCACTCAGCCCAGGGTCTATGGGACGGCCATAATCTCTCTTGCCACATAAATTGCCTGGAGATGCTGGCAATATTTCGGGCTTTGAAACTTACTCCCAGACCTCAGAGGTCATCATGTACTTGTCCGCACAGTCAACACTTCGGTGGTCTCGTATATAAACCAACAAGGGGGTCTGTGGTTGCGTCCACTTTGCAAACTGGCACACCAGATCCTCCTCTGAGCCCGGGGAAGGCTGCTGTCCCTGAGGACAGTCTATATTCCAGGGCATCTCAATCAGGGAGCAGACATCCTGTAAAGGCAGGTGCTGAGGTCCAGGGAATGGAGGCTCCACCCCGAGGCTGTGGGGGAGATTTGGAGCATTTTTGGCCAGACTCAAGTAGACCTGTTTGCGTCTCTGGAGACCTCTTTTGGGACTGGATGCCACAATACAGACGTGGCTGAGGCTGGAGAGAGTTTTGGAGAGAGTCTGCCGGAAGAGTCAGCCTTCTAATAGCCCCATTCTGGCTGGCCCGAGTTTGGTTCTTAGACATTGTGTCATTTCTCAACGGGTTTGCATGGGAGATTCCGATCAGGAGGGACCTTCTGACTCAGGCAGGTTGCACGATTGTTCATGCTCACCTGGAGTTATGGAAACTGTGGGTGTGGCCACTGAGGGAGCACAACTCATAGCTGGAGCACAACTCATAGCTGCTGGTCTCTCAACTGAGGTTGTTGGGACCATTCTTCACTCCAGGGCTCCCTCCACAAGGAAAATGTACTCCCTGAAGTGGAAGCGTTTCACTTCATGGTGCGGAGATCACCAGCTGTACCCAGTCAACTGCCCAGTTGGTTCAGTGCTGGAGTTCCTGCAAGAGTGATTCTCTGCAAGGTTGACTCCCTCCACCTTGAAGGTTTATGTGGCGGCTATATCTGCTTAAGCAGATGGATAGTTGAGGCTATCTCTCTGGCTTATGAGTCCTCTGACCTCTGGTCACTTTTGGGGTCAGGGCCCGCTCAGCCCGAAGTATGGTGGCCTCCAAGATGTTCTTATCTGGTGTGTCTATACACAGTGTTTGTGAGGCTGCGGGTTGGTGTTGGTGCACCTTTGTCAGGTTTTATAACTAGGGTTGGGTACCGAAACCCGGTGCCAATGTGGGTTTGAGATAAAGAATCCAAACTTGGTACGGTTAATGATCAGGATGTCCTATCTGTGTGCAAAATTTCACAACATTTTACCATACAGTTCTATGGGCTGCTATAGACTTCCATGGCAGAAGAAGTAGAACACTAATGATTACAATTAATTATGCTAATATATTTGTCATTATCGTTACTGTTCTTGTGTGAACAGGCCTTAAAAATAAAACTTGATGGAGCTCCAAACACCAATCTCAGAACCATGCAGCAACAAAAAACAGCAAAAAAGTTAGCGAAGCACAACAGTAGAAGTCTATGTCTTAAATTAAGCTCAAAAAACGATCTGTATGATTTAATGCAGTTTTATCGAGGAGGTGTCAAACTTGAATTTTCTGTGAATTGTCTGTTACATCTGTCATTTAGGTGCCTGGAAAAACATTATTTATCATTTACCTTAGATGAGAAGACAAAATCCATTATTTCATACTCAGACTGCAAGTGATCATTTAGGTATTTTGCATTTTGTTGTTGTTACAGTTCAACGCTCAGCTCCGAGATGAAGAAAGATAAGTGTCAGTGGTACCCTAGAGAAAACAACCATGGGAACAACATGATGTGCTTTAGCTGAAAAACAATACTCGCCCTATATTCAGCACTGTGTTGCATGATAAAAACTCACACAAAAGGCCCTGCCCATGCCATTTCTTGTGAAAGGCAAGAGGTGGGGTCTGCCTAGCCTTTATAGCCAGGATTACTCGTGTTGACGTTAACACATCTTCATCAGACTACAGTTAAAAGACATCAGCAGAAATGAGGGGTGAGACTATAAATGTTTTAAATTAAATTAAATTACTGTGTTCAACCTGTATATACATGTACATAAATGTGTTTTATGTACAGGATTGCCTGGATGTACATAACTTTCTTTTACATGTTTTAGCACTTGTAATCTTAAGCCTCTTGGGATGTGCACTTGGACAAGACAAGATTTTTTCTTGGAGTGGAAACGACAGCCAAGTTGACGCCAATGAGAACGGTGACTTTAAAAGAAAATAACAATAATAATAAAGGTCATAAAACCCCTTAAACAATAATTCAGGCATCAGGGTAATGAACTGTCTCTTTGCCTCTGAAGCGTGTCTGACTGATGTGGCGTCTTGTGGGTGCTGCCTGATGAAGAAGCAGATGTGGAAGCTCGAGATGTTTTTCAACATGACATTAAATGAACTACAGAGGAATCTGGAGAGAGCTCATTCAGTGTTAAACAATATTCGTGGTGAGACAGCCATCTTGTTTGCCTGTTTCTTGCACTTCATTTAAATATCTTAAAATACCTTTAGGTTTGAAATTTACCTGTTAGCATTTGTTATTAGATTCCTAATAACAGCATTCATAATGTAGCTGACAGTGATGGAATCATGATTTTACATGCTGAATTACAATTGGTTTCATCTATTTGCATATTAAAATGTGATTAGTGTTGCATTTGTTATATCTATTTAACCATCTATAACCATCATTAATAGAGCAAAGTTGGTGTGTTGACTGTCTCACACAGCCAACAGAATACAAGACACATATTGAGTGTCATGACAATGAAAAAATGGCTGTAATGTAGATTTAATTATCTAAAAAAACAGTCTAAAACATGAAACCAGCCTAAAATGTTAACGTTGCTCTACTATCTTCTTAGCACTGCTATGTCCTTCAGAAAGTGCAAAACATTTAACGAGTCTCTTTCCCTTTTCTTATTGCACAGCCAGTCGCAGTGCCTTCTCTGTTGCCCTTACTGACACACGCCTCTGTATCGGCCCAAATCGTGAAGACTCTGTGGTGAAGTATAGCAGCGTATTTGTTAACTTGGGAGATGGCTACAGCACCGACACTGGTGCTTTTGTAGCACCACGTTCTGGTGTCTACAGCCTGGCACTAACGGTTTATAGTGATGCTGGCGCTCCTGGAGCCACATTGGCTGCTTGTGCTCGACTCCAACTGAACGGACGCACTATTGCATCACCAAATGAGAACAACCTTCAAGACCAGGAGGACAGCGCTAGTGCTGTGCTAGTTGTTCAGCTGCATGCAGGAGACAGGGTGGATGTTGCTCTTCCAGCCGGCTGCTTTCTGTGTGACAATAACAACCACTACAATACTTTCACAGGGTTCCTGCTCTATGCAACTGATTAATATAGAGAGAACTAATACTGTGTTTGAAATGACTTACTACACAGTGTATACTATACATTACACAAAAAAGTATAAAATACAATACTAAGTTTGCAACAGTTACTTAAAGTTGATGTTGTTGTATGGTACTTTTCAGTTTCACTAGTGCAAGAATGGTATATTGTGAATATATTTCTCTCTTTACAAAACCCTGCACATTTACACATTTTAAAATGACTTCTTTCAAGCTACACTAAGTGTTTAAATACAAAATAAGAGGTTGAAGTAATAAATTAAAAATGGTTTTAATGCAAAGAACATATTCAGAAATGCTGCTTTTGTTCTGAAATAAAAATTTGGTTCTTTTGCTCTAACACATTCACTTTGCCTTCATATCTATATCATATTCTCTTACAGGCGTTGATTCAGCTGACATTGAAATATAGCTGATTTTACATCACATTGATTTAATGTTCCAGAAGTACACATTTTCTTCCATATGAATATATTCGGTAGTAATACTGATTCAGTTTTATGTTTATCCAACTGTTTCAATTTATTGCCAAAAGGACATTTTACACTACATTTAATAAAAAATTAAAAAAAAAGTATTATAAAAATTATATTTTTAGTTGATAATTACGAATAAGATTATGTACTAAGTCATATGATAGCCATGTGGCACAGTTATGCATAAAGTATTTATTATTATTGCACATTTATTTACATACTATTATTAAATGGAGGTCTCAACGGCTTTTTTAATCATGTCAATCGCAACAGAAGAGTATTTAAACCAATAAAAAGCTTACCTAACTGCTGTTAAAATTCTTCTAGCATTCCTACATCATCCCATCCCATCTCTTTTTTTTTTTTACATATATTTTAGTGTAAATCTGTTTTAGTGTAGTATGTACTTAAATTTAATTTAAATTTAAATAAAAAGTAAATGCTATAGTAATATTATTGTTATAAATGTAGACGTTATTACACGTTATTTATTTAAAGTTTTAGATGCCTTTAATGTATAAATTTTTATCATTTTTCCTTTGTCCCAGACTGAGACATTCATCTTGAAAATCCATAAATTAATTCATAAATTACATTAACATTAATTGCATAGGGTGGCACGGGTTCTTGCAACAAAATGGTCTCCGGTTTGAGTCAGCAGGCCTTTCTGTGTGGAGTTTGCATGCTCTCCCTGATTTCCAAGTTGTGGCATCCTATTTATTTATTTGTTTAATTTTGGCGTTTTTGCCTTTTATTGTTATAGGATAGTTTAGAGCTGACAGGAAGTGAAGTGAGAGAGGAAGAAGGGGGTTGGGATCGGGAAAGGTCCTCGAGATGGGATTCAAACTCAGGATGCCCGTAGCACAACGGCGGTGTATGTCGGCACACTGCCCAGTGCCCACAAGGCTATCGGCACCAACATTTATTTATTTATTTATTTATTCATTCATTCATTCATTCATTCAAAATACACTATATGGACAAAAGTATTGGGATACACCTCTTAATTATTGAATTCAGGTATTTCAATCAGATCCATTGCCACAGATGTATACAATCAAACCCTGCATTTGTAAACATTTGTGGGAAAAAATGGGTCATTTTGAAAGAGCTCAGTGAAGTACTGTGACAGAATGGCACCTTTGCAATAAGTCAGTTTGTGAAATTTCATCTCTGCTAGATTCCATATTCAACTGTAAGTGGTTTTATTGGAATGTGAAAGCATTTAGGAGCAGCAGCAACTCAGCCATGAAGTGACAGACCTCATAAAGTCACAGATTAAGTCACAGAATGCTGAGGCGTATGGTGCATAAAAGTCTCCAACACTCTGTTATTTTTATAGCTGAAGAGATCCAAACTTCCACTGGCATTAATATCAGCACAAATACTATGCGGTGGAGCTTCACGAAATGGGATTCCATAGTATCTATATGCAAGCCTCACATCACGAAGAATAATGCCAAGCGTGGAATGGAGTGTGTAAATAACACAGATACTGGACTCTGGAGCAGTGGAAACCTGCTCTGTGGAGTGACAAATCACGATTCTCTGTTTGGCAGTGTGATGGGCGAGTCTGGGTTTGGCGGATGCCAGGAGAACATTACCTGCCTGACTGCATAGTGCTAACTGTAATGTTTGGTGGAGGAGGGATAATGGTATGGGGCTGTTTTTCAGGGGTTGGCCTCGGCCCCTTACTTCCAGTGAAGGGAAATCTTATTGCTTGAGCATACTAATACATTTTGGACAATGCTATGCTTTCACATTTTGGGAAAAGTTTGGGGAAGGTCTATGTATTTAGAATGCAATGTAATTTGAATGCAAAGTCCCTGTTGGTGGTCAGGTGTCTCAATACAGTTGTCCATAAAGTGAAGGTGTACTTCTTGTGTAAATATAATTTCATTGTGTCTGTTTAAGATATATAAAATATTCATTATGAAATTATCTTTTTGGAGATAAAAGAGTTTAAAAGAGATGAAATAACTTTGCACATTTTTATTCCAAAAGAGTTTACATTTGAGGTGGACGTAACAGGTTGCGCATGTAACCATGCGTTTAAGAAACGCGTGATGTATTCAAACCATTCAATTGGTTCAATTCAACCCTGCTCTGTCCCCTCCACCACCTCTTCAACAGCTGATGATTTTGTTACATTCTTCACAGACAAAACTAAAACCATCAGCAGTCAGTTCTCAACTCCACACACACAGAAGCTCAAACCAACCACATCCACTGCTAAAACTCCCATTTTCTCCTTCTGTCTCCTCACTGAGAAAGAAGTATCCAAACTTCTTCTCTCCAGCCATCCTACAACCTGTCCTCTAGACACAATCCCCTCACAGCTTCTATCTCTCCCACACATCTCTTCTCACAGGCATGATTCCCATCGCACTTAACCTCACTGCTTAAAAAGCCTACATTAAACACTTCACTTGTAGATTGCTACAAAACTGTCTCTCTCCTTCCATTCATAGCGAAAACACTTGAACAAGTTGTTTTCAACCAGGTAACATAATTTCTTTCACAAAATAACCAACTGGACGTTAACCAATCAGGTTTCAGAAGTAGCCATTCAAATTAAACTGTATTACTGTCAGTCACTGAAGCCTTGCGGATTGCAAAAGCTGATTCCAAGTCATCAGTTCTCATGCTGCTGGATCTATCTGCCGCTTTTGACACTGTGAATCATCAGATCCTCCTGTCCACCCTCTCATCACTGGGCATCACAGGGATTCCACTTTGCTGGTTTGTATCCTATCCCACAGGTAGGACTTTCATGGTGACCTGGGGAGGGGAGGTATCCAAAGAACATCAACTGGTCACTGGGGTTCCTCAGGGATCAGTTCTTGGACCCCCTCCTCTTCTCCATATACACAACATCACTGGGTCCCATCATACAGGCACATGGCTTCTCCTACCATTGCTATGCTGATGACACACAGCTCTATTTTTCATTTCAACCAGATGATCCAACGGTAGCTGCACAGATCTCAGGTTGCCTGGTGGACATCTCAGCATGGATGAAAGAATATCACCTACAGCTCAACCTGGCAAAGACTGAGCTTCTTGTCTTCCCTGCCACTCCAACTCTACAGCATGATTTCACCATCCAGCTAGGTTCTTCTACAATTACCCCATCAACTTCGGTCAGAAATCTTGGTGTAA